TTCTAAAAAAAAAATGAATGCGAAATAAAATTTCCTTTGTTTACAATCACTGATCGATTTGGTTTTGATTTCTGAGAAATAAAGAAGATTTCTTTTATTTGATGGATTCCAATATATATATAGATGTACATCCTTACGTATACATATGTATGTATGTATATTTAAAAGGGAAACACTTCATAATGGTTCACATGTTTAAACACAATTTGGTCATGTATTATCTCGGTCTCGTTTGTAGAACTAAGCGGTCTGGAATAAATCAAACTTTTGTAGAACATGCCACAAAGGAATAATAGAACACAAATGATGAAAAAGTTTGCAAGAGTTATAAATCATCATTCCGTAGATGTAAGAATGACCATAAATGCAAGAAAAGAGGAAAGTATCATAAATAATAGCCCCGGCCTTCTTGAACAACGATAAGAGAGCTTCAAGGAAATAAACTAAATAAGAAAGACAAAGCAGAAATAATTTATTGCTAGTATTTTCGGGATTAAACGCCATCTCCATTTTCTTGAATTAGTTTCGTGCTTGACTATTCATTAAGGACGATGCTCCGACAAACCTTGAAAGCTATTTATGTCCTTGAGGATAATAACAACAAACATCGATTATAAACTATTGTAATTCGTGGGTTTAAGAAAATTTACTTATAAGACTGATAACAAAAACTATTTATTTACGCTAATTATTGATATATCACTATTCACTGCGCTATTTATTTCACTGCTATAACTGTCAATTTATTTCTGGATTCACTTCTGCAACGGTCAATTTATTTCTTCTTCTTTCGGCGATCGTCTCTTCCTTTAAATACTCTTTTTTTACTTTCTGGAACCTTCTGGAAACATCCGGATAGTTTATTTTTTCTTTGAACTGTTAAACTGCCTCTCAGAACGCAGGTATTACACACACATTTACAACTACGGCGCACATGAAGAAAAGCGCCCGCGGCTAGTCGGCGAATCGATAAGTCGTTCAAGCACACGTGTGCCCGATCGCACACAAACACACTCGTCCTCGCTACACTATTATTCTAACGAACGAACGGTTTCAGTGAATCTGCTTTTGTACTCTTAGAATGTAAATTTAAAATTTTTCTACTAAAATACTTTGTCATGCTGCATGCAGCAAATGATACAGTTTAAATATAACATATATGTACGAATTTAGGGGAAAGGTGAAGGCTATTTTTCAATATAACCTAAACAAACACTGATCCAGTGCTCGAGGTCCTTTCAAGTCCTTCCAATCAGACTTTCTCTTCAACCTCTCAAAGAAGTTCACTAAGTGAAAACATCTTTCTTTGAAACCCGTTCGACCATGATGACCTGCTTGTTTCAGCACAATTTCTCCATGTGGTGATTTAGACCCTTTTTTCTAAAGAACAAAAAGCAACCAACCCCCTACACGATTTCAGCTTCGATGTCGTAACGGAATCTCATTCCTGACTGTATAACTCGGTAACTAGTGCGCTTGAATAAGTGTAAACATTTACAAAAAGAATTTATAGATAATTGAACAAATGTAACCATTAGCAATAAAAATCCCGCGATTTAACTTTTAAAAGACTAAAATTTTGACATGTTATAGTTAGAACTAAACAATTGCAAAGAATTGAGTGGGTTTAAATGTCTATGTTAGGATGCATAGTTGGTTACATACATACATCATACTAATATATTATAGCTATTAAATTTTTAATGCTTAATTCTTAATGTAGGTAAGTATAGATACATTATAAAATTGCTGAAAATTTCGACATTAAAATTAAAAAGTTCAACTAGTATACTAAAAATTTAAAAAGATCGCCGAAAATTCTGAGTGAAGTCAAAATAAAAATGATAAATAAAATAGACTTACAAAATTTTATATACGTGGGTAGGTACATAAATAGATAGGTACCTTTATTGTTGTTAGAAAGCTGAAAAGATATTGAAATGAATTTTATCAATTCAGAAGTGATAAGGAAAAAAAGGAAAAAAAGCACTCGGTTCAAAATAACTTTCATAGCCCGAATCCATTTTCGTTGTCCTCAAAAGCCATGTCCGTTTCAAATATCTCGACCAAACCTACACATCCAAAAATGTCAATATACATTTTCTTCCTCCCTATCCATATATTCTTAGAAAATCTTCCCTCATCGTCAGTAAGTGAAATGATGACGTAGGACGTGATAGAATTTCTGTTGTATCAATAACAAAACAGCAATACCTTAAAGTATCGTATAGACCTACAGAAGGAAGTCTCATAGAATTTCGATTTAATTCGCTGAGAGACAAACAAAAAGTGGGCGTATAAATAAAATGAGGTTTTGATGTCTATGGAGAATGTATCTATATGTTAGACGCAAATACAGCATCAACCCTAATAATTTAAACAATTTTTATATAAATCAATTCATAATTCGTAAGGATTCTGCATTATTTTTTGCGAAAAACTTACATTTTTGCGTAGGGCAAATAATGGATTACGGGTCTCTAAAAAAAATCTAATGCGGCATTTTTATGTTAATAATTCTAAGGGCTTCGGATTCTCCTTTGTCGAAAAATTCACTCTATTTATCAAACATAGAACTTAATCACAACCCCCAAAGCTCGAGCTTCATTATCACAAGGAGTGGTAAGTTTATGGTAATCCTGTGCGTGGTACGCATGGTAAAATATGGCATGAGAATGTATATGCGTACATATGTATATCTATAAAATATGTATAATTTATAAGACGAGGGTGAGACTTACCGTACACCAGCATGCTCTTGGTGCGACTGTCTTCGTCGTTGAACGAGGACACTGAACAGGTGTAGTCCCCTGACAGTTCGGGTGCCGGCTTTGTAATGTGCAAAGCCCTGTGCTTGCTGTTGTTATGTTGACTAGCTGAATATTCCAGATTCAGTCTTCCTTTGAGAATACCTGGAAAGCAAAAATTCAGAAAAACAAAAACGGAAAAGAAGAACGAAAATTAAACAACCCCCGCTTTCTGTTTGCCCCGGAACAATAAATGCACCAGCCATGAAACTGCCTATGCATTATTCATTTTGAAAAGCTTTATTTTGCATGCTTTTATTTACCTACTTGACGTTCAACTTTTTCTGGGTCATTTTCAAATAATACTACCAACAAAAGACACCACCAGCTCTTGTTACAGTATTAATTCAAAAAAATTTAGTACATAACAGATCTGTATTATTGTAATATTGCTACTAAAAACAATAGAAAAAAATATGAGATTGGATAGGGAACCACCACTAGGGTCAGATCAAGCTAAATAAGGTATATGGCTGATTATAAACATTTTCTGTAGCTTAAATTTAAAATTCATTTAGTGAACAAGAAAACTAAACTGATTTTTCTGGGAACCCCCCATAGATATATTTTTTTTGTTGGAATGATTGTGATATTTTGTTATAAGGTATATAAAGACGATTGTTGAAAACCATTACCTAGTGCTTGTGGCTTATTATTTGTGATCCATTGATATATGGGTGTTCTTCCGTTATTGAAGAACCATTTGACCACCAAGCCATCGTCCTTCTTTTCATCCCAACTGTAATCACAATCTAACACCACCGGACTTCCAAACTGTGCTACTTCAGGGACCTGAAGTTTATTGATCTTAACTCCATTAGTAAGACTTGGAAATGTTTCTGAAAACAAAATCCTATTTGTATTTCTAGATCCCACAACAACAATATCTACATTTCGTTAACTGGTACATATTAATTTCTTAATATTAATTTAAAACTTCATTTTAATTTTTATCGACTACAGATTACATCAAACTAATGAGGAAAACTTATTGTCGGAATCTTTGGCTTTACTGACCAATGCTCTAACCACCCGAGATAAAAATGTTCAGTCTCTCAGAGTCTCTGACAGCAAGACTCGAGTCTCCGTCTCTCATCGAGTCTCTCTGGTGTCGCTGAGAGAGACCGTCGAGAGACTGCCAAAAAAACTGTTTAGCGTCTCTGAACGAGAGACTCGAATCTCTCAATAAGTGGTGTCTCGGTAGACATGGTTAAATTTTTCTAAGCTCAACATATTTCAGAGATCCCAGTCATTCTACGAGAGACTCGAGTCTCTCAATTTTTCACTTTTACTCATTCAGTCTCTCTGTGAGAGACACGAATCTCTGAATTAACAATTCTATCGTTCGAGTCTCTCATACAGAGACTGTGAGAGATCCATAAAAACACCTAGGCAATAACTGAGAGACTGTGAAAGACGCTCTCAGAGACGCTGAAAGACTCTGAGAGACTGGAGCGAGACTGAAAATTTTTGTCTAAGACACTACCCGTGACCTAATAAGTAGGTAAATTTCGTCCTTATTGCTGTTGACTTTGTGGTCAAAGCATTTGGTGAATAAAGCCAAAAATCCCAGGTTCTATTCCCGACGCAGATGAGACAACAGGAACAATTTTTCCTCATTAATTTGATCATTAATGAATTAATTAAAATTAATTTTAACCACACAAAAATATTGTAAAATTGATTTTTTTTGAACTACCTACATAAGTGCAAATGATTTTCTCGCGTTGTCGTATGGCACAATTTAATTAATATAATTAATGTCGCGTTGTAGTTAACTGGAGTTATTGTAATAGAAGATCGAGTTTAATGAAATTCGCTCTTTATTCCACATTTCTGCCGCGACTTAATTAACTCGCATACCTGATGTATTTATAACAAAGCAGTTGTTTAAGGAATGATGAACTAAGCGAGATGGCGAGATAAACCTTCCCGTCTTTAATAGAATTCTGTGTTCATGGGGCCGAAGCATTTTTCAGCGCCGTATCTATTCACCGTCACAACGTCTCAACGTGAATATTTCATGTAATTATATAGGTACAACTTCAACAACTTTGTATCGCAGCTGCTACTGCTACATACCTTTAAAAATTTAATAACCTAGATCGCAGCCACTTTCATAAAGCAGTTAGTTCGTCTTAAGAAATCTTGGCTTTTGTATCTACTCTTAAACCTACTTAACTGCTAAGATTCTTTACTAAAAAATAAGATAAATTACATCTCCAGAAAGCAACACTTGAAATAAACAGAGAATACGATTGTGTGTGGATCAACCACTCAACGACATACAATTATATCACACCCGTCAGATATAGGCTAAAAAATATTTGTCGTTGCTGAAACTTCTTTACGCACGGTAGGGTAAGTTCGTTTCATGCGAGTTGCTATGTAACGAAATCATGCAACGGATGTCCCCCCTCTACTCGTCCACGTAGTCGAGTTCGTAGTGGGGATCGCTTGAGCCGTGAGCGCGCTTCAATGCAACGTTTGTTACAGGCAACTCCGGCATGTATAGTGTAAAATTTAAATTCATGGTGTACAAATAATACCATTAAACCAATTCCTTAACCCCTATCCCGGTATGTTTGTGTGTTTGAAGAAGTTTCACTTCAGTAGCGTGTTGTATAATTACACGTTCTATTTTTTTTTTCCGATAGTTATGTAATAATAAGACAAAGCTTTTCTCATAAACATCAGACGCAAAAATTAAGACAACAGTTACATACGTCACGGTTACAAAGTGGTGTGTCATATTCATCATCACTATAAGGTCGTCAGACTGGTTGGATACGTACCTCCACCCCTTCCTATCCTGAGCTAATCTTCTCATTTTCCTAAAACTAAAACATCCTACATCCTTAACTATTTGCGAACAATAATCTAATATATCTCCTGTTTCTGCCTCGAATATGTCTCTGACTAGACATTCATGCCCGAGAAGGTGTCCCACCAACCTATCTCTCCTATTTTGTGTCATATTAAGTTAGTTTTAAATAAACGTGTCTACATTTAATAACCGTTGTACATATTTAATATGTTCATTATAGTAATGGATACAATTATGTTATTTTATCGATATGGAAGAGTTGTTATTTAGGGCTATTATTATTACCTACCGTATTCAAACAAAAGCAAGGGAGCAGTCGCTAAAATAAATTAATATTCATGAATGTCCGTTATTCGGGATTCCAGATAACCCACAGGACATGTAACCGTTGTATGATTACGGCACAGTTATTATCGTTAAATTGTGAAGTGTTTAGCTGAATTTATACTCATACATATTACCATTTCTTTATGACTGTTTATATGTATAAATTCAGATAGACTTCAATTTTTAAATTTCGTTTAAATATATATAGGTGTAATTTATTTATTAAATTAGAAGGAAATCCCATGGAGATTTTTGATCGAAAGAATTTGAAATAGTTTCACACTGGGCAATTTTCCTTAAGGATCTAGCGGAGTCCTTTGTTAGAGATACTATCCGAACCCTATCGACATTCCTGATATCAGATAGGGCACAATAAGATAATTTTATTTGGTCCCTGGGCCTAGGTCAGGCAGCCAGACTTAGTCGATATAGAAATAGGAGTCGACACAAACATGTATCAAGCAGTTACAAAGGGTATTTAAATCCTGCACTGCAATAGATTAAAGTATTTTTTATTTAAACTTTTTCCTAGTTTAGAAAATGTAATTATTGCAAAAAGAAAGATTCATGTAAGTCAGTAATTAATCACTGGTAACTAATTGCAATGTAGATGAAATGCAACACTTCGTCAAGAAGTTTATGATTGTAGCATTTAAAAAGCCTTTAGGGATAATTATAGTGTAAATAATTTATGCAATATAAATTGCCTTTTTAATATGTCACAAGAAAACTGTATGTACTTTTGCTTAGCTACTGTGTAGGTATTTTTCCTGTGCCTTTTCCCTGTTGCATAAATTATGAAGTTTACTTACAATTAGATATATCGCAATCACTTTAATCGATCTTCATTAATTAATATCGTAAAGACATTATCTTAAATATAGTACGAATAGTTATTTCACGGAAATAATTAATATTTTTCCTTTACCCAGAGTTGTCAAGGTTTCAAGCATTCCTTAATCTGATTCTATGTCATTTATTGAGAACAGTTACCGCGTTATCTTAGACGAAACACACATACCTATTCGTGACCTTCGCAACAACTGATACGTAGACAAGTCAATTGTACGTAATGACTGCATATGGATGGTGCAATGGGAATGCACCCGCGGCAAAACGCACATACGTTTCATCGTCATCATTGCCGGAGCAGTTGGGGCTTTAGGTAAGGTTACTATCCTCATGTTTATGTAAATCACTGAGGAGTGCGAGATGTCTCATTCTAAGTACTGTTTTTTCGTTTAATTTTTCCGGAGTATCAGACTTGTAGTAACAGACGGAAAGTCAAAGGTATCTCGCAAACCTACATTTACAATTTTATTTCTTAATTAATTTACGTCGATTGTTTTGTTTGACGTAAAGTTTCATCTTCCGACTCACTTCTGCATTTTTAATGGGCTTTTTTGTAAGTCAAAATTCTGTTGTTATTAAAAAGAATTATTCTCGATTGGCTAAGGTCGACTGAATCCGAAGAGAAGAGTGCAGATTTTAAGTATAATTTCCTGTTTGAATAATTCACAAACTTCTAAATTGCACTCAGACCGATCTAATTAAACTAAGTCTTTGGAATAATTATTCGAGCGTAAGGCTTTAAGAGCGCAAAGTTTGATATTCCGAGATGAATTAAGAACTCTGATGCTTGTTTCTTTAACTGGAAACAATGGATTGAACTGAACGCAAAATTCTCTTCCAATAGTCACGGACATTATTCTTTGTTTTTTTTTTCTTACCCTCACGTTTCAAACCGGCTAACATTAATTAAAATCGAATCAAAGGCATCAGCGACCACTTGAATAACAATCACAACTTGAAAAATGAATGGCTTACTTTGATCGTTATTTCTTTAGGCTGCGATCAAACAAAATTTGTTTTTTTTAAGCATTTAATTAATGCAATACAAAAATAATAGTTAAAAATACCGCCATCTAGGTACGAGGGTGGATTGATAAATTTCCGGCCTAACCAAGAGATGACGCCACTAGGCCTACCTTGAGGTGACATTCTATAGTACCATCCTTGGATAGCTTGTAGCTATAGTTTCAGCCCGATCTCCTTGCTAGTGTAGGTTTGACAGCACGCTGAACAAGACGCCTCT